CACTGCGCTTGCTCAGGGCACATGATTCTCGAACCCAATGATCACTTACCCCACGGTGTGGGGAGTGGTCATTGGTTGATAATGCTGGCGCGCTCTCCCGAAAGTACTGAGCCTTCGGGAGATAGGGCCTGACCAGCGCACACTATGGTGAAAAAAAAATAGTGCTAAAATAAAAATATCTCGAGTGTATAAATGTGGTACCCTAGGCATAAGTTCACCCATTTGTTTTATTTGGGAGATCCTCTGGAAAACACGCATGCTATCGGTATGAAATTCAGGATTGACAAATGTGCAACAATACACTCAAAAGAGGACGATGCGGGACTACGGAGAAGATGTGCAGATCCTGCATTATATGGATGCCGAAGAGACTTATACTTTTCTGTCGATGGAACAACACAGGCAGGGAAAAATTCTCCGACAGATCTGGTCAGTAGAACTGTCGAGGAAGAACAAAGTTGCTACTATGAATAAGCTTGTCGATTTGATTTTATACTGCTCGTTTTGAATACTGAAAGGGATGCCAGAAAATGTAGCAAGTCGACGTTAAGACCCGAAAAATGATGCATCTCTATAGGAATTTGCATCCTAAATCGTCCGTTTCACGGTTGTACCTTCATGACAAGAGGAAAACCGTGGACTGTTTATAGCGAGGTCAACGATCATAACTCTGTCATCTCTGTTCAGCAAAAAACTCACATAAAAGTCGCAAAGATCAATTCACTCGTGCGGCAACACAAGGCTGAGCCAATACATAGGATCTTCTTTATGATATCATCAATTGATAATAAGTAGATCGTAGGCGCAGGGGATGGAGTGTATTATTTAGAAAACTTAAACGGGTTGTTCGCATAGCACGGTTGTGTATGATGTAAATATTTGATGTAAGTAGTGGTGACGTAGTTCAATGAGTAGTAGCATATTTGAATAACTTCATGTTCAAAAGTTTAAGGAAAATCTTACATTTTCTAATCGTTCAACAGCTAGCTTCAGCGTTACACCATCGTCCTCTTCACTTCAAGAATTAAATATTGATGCCCATGAAACTGTTAACTCAGACAGTTCAAATATATTTCAAGGCTCTTAAACATCACAAGGTATTAATATCAGCAGTTGCTCCAATTGTACTTTGCATATTGATGTTCATAAATCATAATAAAAATGTAATTGATGTATATAATACATTTGTAACAGAATTTAATTGTATCTATATCTATTGTTCAAAATAAAACTTTCTTAAAAATTGAATAATTATGGTTTGTTTATTGCTATTTGGTCGAAACAAATCGTGTTGATAATACTTTTAACACTAGTGTTAAAAATATTTTCAACACGCTACTTTATGAACATCATCCTTTGATACTCTTGAAAACCATTAAAAATGTCACTTTTAATAACAGTTGCACAAAAAATAATTTTCAACGTTACTTTCCAATCATAAAAGACCAATCTTTTATCAATTGAATAAATACGAAACAACGCCACGTCATTTGAAGATATGAATTTCTGGTACAAAATTCTGCAAAAAATTTAAAAAACTGAGTTAAAAGTGCCTTTTCGAAAGTATCGGAACTGTTGTACAATATACTGAATGGATGAAGGACAAATATTCAGAAACATTTACAAAAGAGGTTTGCTTGTTTATTAGATAGCACGGATCCATCATTTTATGGTACAGATCTGTCATTTTAGGGTATAGGTAGGTAAGTCAGTTGATTGAATACGTCTTTGCTATTTGTAACTGAAGATATATTTGATTGTTCACGAGTAATATTCTTCAAACACGTTATTTTCAAAGCAAAAAAGGTCTGTCAATTGTTGATTGTCAGTTGAGGAAGGTTCGAAATGATAAAAAGTATTTGAAAAAGTGTACATGTTATATTTATGAAAGTTAATGACAAACCTTAATACAAATCCTTAAAACTACTGAATACTGCTACGACTCACTGAATATTGCCTAAATCATTATCAAACGCATAAATAATAAATTACATTAATATATTTAAGAAGCTAAAGAAGTACATTTTTAGTCTTTTGTCTTCATGAAGTTAAGTAGTTGGAAGCTTCAAATCAACTGAAGTTCACATCAGTTGAGATCTGTGTTATGTAATGTATACATTTTTTATAAAAAAATCTAGCGAATTTGAAGTACTTGTCAGTAATTGTTACTCAACTATCATCACTTCCGACTTCAGGGAATGAAGAAATGTGTAAAAAATGATATCAGCTGATTTTGTATGGTAAGAAAATCAGAGCAATAATAATGATTTGGTCATTCTCAATTTGCTATGGATAATTCTGAACCTACTGACTAATTTAGTTTCAGCAATCACAGTTTGCTTTATCAAATCACTACTTTGCTTTTTTGTTGTGGTCAAATGATTGACTCTGTTGAAGTTGTAAAATTATACGCAAAAAAAATGCAGAAATACGAAATCAAATTATGGAAACCTTGGAAATTAATACGAAGGAACATTGCTACTTATTGATTATTTACTTTTTCCAAGACGACAAACATGGCACATTGTCAATGACTTTATATGATTGATGTAATGACTTTTCATATCCTTCTTTTGAAACCATTTTTGTTTTCTTTCTAGCATATTCCAAAGATCTAAATGGAAAATTGAGAAATTCGGACACACGGGTATTTTGTAACTTTTTTGTAATCATCCCATGTACTCTTCATAACGATTTTTTGAAAAGCCCAACAGTAGAGGAATATTGCAAATATATTAAGAAAAATACTTTATCTAAACTTCAGATGGAAAGTACAAGCTACTTTGATGAATATTTACACATTTTCCATGAGTTTTTCACTCTGTTCATTGTTAGATTTAACGATGTCTTTTTTGGCCACTCTAGTTGGAACAGCTTTCGTTTGTGTCTTTGGTACCTTTTTCTTTTCTGATCCAAGAAATATTGTATTATGAACAAAATAACCGGTGATATCTGATAATTTCTTTCCGTGTGTTTCCGGTAAAAGTATATAAGTGTACAAAGATGCCAATAATGCGACAACAGCGAAAAACCACTGAACGCCTGCAATACCGCAGAATATATAATCCAAGGTCCAGAAGCTCTGGATTGCAGCAAACATAATCAAGTTAGCAATGCTGTAAGAAATGCTGTTTGCAACTCCTCTGATTTCAATTGGGAAAAGTTCGGCTGTCATCGTCCATGGTATAGGTAAGAGTCCAATCATAGATGTAACGACATACAGGAGCAGTAAAGCAACAGGAATCCAAGTTTGGTCAGACGTTCCTGCGAAAAAAAATAATTAGAAAATTTTTCAAATCGAAAGAGGAAACTAATTCTTATAAAAATGATTTGTATCACACACTTTCTCAATATTGCCCTTGAAACATTTGGCTCATTCAAAACCTATGGACAGAAATGGATCCATGAACAAATCATAGTTATACTTTTTGTGTTACTTATTTTGAAGCAGGGTACTTTGATTATGGTGAATATCTGTTTGTATTACGAAGATTTTGCATAAGCATTTATTAAAAATTTTCATTAGAAGTCTGTTTCCCTCACAAAACTGTTCGCTACTGAAATGTGGGAGACTCAAAATAGTAGACGTTACTAAACTGAAGAGCGTCAACGGTGTTATTAGGAAAACTTTGGACAAAAATTTTCAAAAATGCTCATGAAAAAACGAAACATGATATGAATCTCTTATTGACGATAACTCCGGACACACGCATAGGTCATCTTTCTGATCTCACATCCTGCATAGAGGTGTGTCCACTATCCCTATATTATGGAGGTGTTTCCTTGGTTGACAATGGCCAGTCAGAAATCTTACTGTTGAGCGTAGATTTTCCTGGTCATTGCCAGATATTTCTTCGGCGCCAGTTTCCCAGGGTCATCCAGAGTGATCCTGGACGATTGCTTCCTTTGACCATGGGTGTGACATTTGGCTAGTTCCGCAACTGTCGAAGTCATCAGACCGTAGGTGACACTGGGTCCTAAAATTCTTAGCCCAGCCGCTTCCTTGGCTAAAGAGTCGGCAATGCGATAACCTTTACCTCCTGGCGTGTCCTTTAATTCACCTCAAAATAATGTTATTATGTACCAAGGCTTTGGCTAAATCTTGGTGGCACTCTAGTACTAGCACTGACGTAACACGTTGTCTGTTCAAAGCTAATAGGGCTTGTCTGTTATCAGGGCAGATTGTTATTTTTTCACCTGAAATTCCTTTCCTGGTTATTTATTTTGTGGCGATGGAGATACCAGCCAGATCTGTTTGAACCACGCTAGTATTTTCTCCATTCCCCACTTAATCCTTAGGCTTAGTGATCTGGAGTACACTCCACATCCTGAGCGTTCTTTGGTTTTTGAGCCGTCTGTATGTATGCTTATTGCATTTGTAGCATCTGACTCTGTGTTCTGTTTTATTTGTATTTTGTAGGGTTTATTAAACACAAACCTGGGTTCAAATGCATCACTGGTTGCGCAGTAAGCGCTTCTCGCCATAGGCTCAGCCTCAATTGACCCATTCCTCTACTTCGAAGTTTACACCAGCCGTGCGCAATCGTATTATGGTCATTAACGCAACCTCCTTAACGTACAGGCACAAATTATCTGTGGTACAGGCCCAGATGGGTCAGACCAGTAATTAATTCCATTGCTGCGGTTGGTGTTGTTCTCATGGTTCATGTGATGTATAAACAAGCCAATCGCTGTATTTGATATAATTTTTGGATGGCCGTTGCTTGTAGAACTTTCGGCCCCGATGTAATGGCTCCGTACTTTAACATAGGTCTTATTATTGCAGTGTAGATCCAGGTGATGTGGTCACTTGGGTGACAGACCCCATGTGCGTCCCAGTATCCTCCGACATTGCTCATAAGCCACATATGCTCTTTTTATTCTACTCTGTAGGTGAGAGTTCCATGTTAGCTTCCTGTCGAGGATAGTACAAGATACATGATGAAACGATACATGAAATGACCGAATGATAGAAATAAATTTCTGCCATTCTGTCATTAGACCATTCACAATTCCATTCAGTATCAAATGAATTCGCCACTGAAATGAAAGTGGATAATTCAAAATAGATTTTTAGACTTAACAGGGTAGATATTATAGACTCCATTCTTTTCAGAAACTACTAGAACAAGCCGTTCACAAGGTTTATCCCACTTCAAAAAACGATAATAAGCATGAAAGGATATTTACATACTTTGGTGTACCCACCAATAATTTCGATATATTTTGTAAAATGGATGACTTGAACTTTTCTCACAGAAAAATAATGATACAGACTGAATATAAAAAATACAGACAAAACTTCAGTATTTGATACATCAAGAAAATATGATTGACTTGTGTTTCTTGCGCCAAACTTTATATTGGCAAAACGGGGAGAATCGTTTGCCAAAGAATGGAAGCACACGTGTGAAGCTTCTTGAATATGAATATCAATTCCACATTTGCAGATCATCTTTTGGGCGGAATTTGGAATGAGTTCAACTACGACTATGATGTATTACATTTGGAAGAGAAAGGTTTAAAACTCAACCTACTGCAATGCTTGGAAATGAATAGATTTATTAATTCGGAAAATTTATTGAATCTGTTTTCTAATGTGAAAATTGAATATGTCAATTTAACGATTCACGTGGAATATTCATTGGAAAAAATATTCAGTTTGTGAAACTCAGTCGATCGATCGATGTGTAAGTCGATGGTTCAAGCCTTAGGCTGATAGGTATATTAGATTAGCATAAATTTGATCATTGTTATTTATCGAAAAACTTTGCTCATTTGGATATATTCGAAACATTTTGCCACGTTCACAATGGAATATGAAAAATTTCATGAAAAAATAATGATTAATTATGTTGGGTTGTTGAGATGTACTATTTTCTCAATAATTTCAGCTTTATCAGCATCAAAACTGTATATTATGTGTGATTGATGACTTGTTTACTTTATGGTAATTCATGATCACTTAAATGAAATGAATAAAAACACTTCTGTCTGAATTCCACTGGAAAATTATATAAAACTGAAATCTGAATTTTGCAGCATCAATTTTATAGAATTTTCAAGTATGCTGCAAGGGACATGTATTTGAGAGACAGGATGCCAACTTAAAATACCATCCTGAAAATTCTAGGGGTTGTTAAACTCATAAATTCAAGAGAGGAGACCTACATAAATCAAGTTGCTCATTTAGTGGTTTATGTTTCTGGTTTTTAAATCTGTATCTTCAAGAATCAAACCACAAGTAGTTTTTCATAGAGACGATTTTTAGGCTATCAATTTTTCTGTAACTCGCCACTAGATGGCGCTGTAGAACAATTTTTCCCAAGTTCGTTGATTCTGTCAAAATATTGGAACAGCAGCGATACAGCAACATAGTACTAGTATGTAATAAAGGGAGAAAAATGAATCTGTTGGAGGCCATGGAAATTAACAAATCAATTAAAAACCAGAAACATATTCCCCTAAACGAACAACTTGACTTATGTAGGTCTCCTCTCTTGAATTTATGAGTTTAACAACCCCTAGAATTTTCAGAGGGGTATATTCTATAAAATCGATGTTTCAAAATTCAGATTTCAGTTTTATACTTGATAATGGAATCAAATCCGAAACCGGTCGTATAAATAAAATTTTCCAGTGGTATTTAGACAAAAGTGTTTTTATTCATTTCATTTAAGTAAAAACTGTATATGCTTTCTTTTCCATTATTTCANTTTTTTAATTAACCACCGGTCAAGTTTCATTCATTTTCAAACAGACATAATTCAACTTTTTCAACTGTACTTTTTCATTTGTATAGAATGTTTCAACATTTCTCTCATTTTTTATCTGAAGTATACTATAAAAAACTAATATTTTACAAATTATACCACGTTTAAGTAATTGTAACCACAAAAAAACGTATATTCTAACGTTCACTTATTTAAATTTATTTTTCAAATATTCAAACTAATGGCTAGTACATTAGCATTTTTCATACCATCTAGTGATAGTTATCAGCGGTTTCAACGGTAAAAAACCTAAAGAATATTTATACTGACTGACATCAAAAAATGAATCTCGGAATTTGTCAATAACGCCATGTGTTGAAGTCTCTTTCGCGTGTAGATTGAATCATTTTCATTATGAATTATGTATTTGAAGATATGGTGCAAATGGTCAATGCTTTGGGGGAAAGTGACGGAAACTGCCTCCTTGCATCTAGGATTTACAAAGAGAAGTTCCCTGAAAGGAGACAACCAGAAGGAAGGGCATTTCAGGCTCTAAAACAAGATTTGAAAGAATTGGTAATGTCGTCATTCACGAGAAGTTCGAACGTGCCCTGTATCAAATTAAGAGAATACATTTCAAATTGCCCTTCACCTTGTTGAAAATCCCCATTCAAGTATCGGAGACTTGAGCAGGATATTAGGATTTTCTCAAACCAGCGTGTCTCGAATGATACGAGCAGGCAAATTTCTTCCATACCACATGCATGATGCAAGAGTTAGGAGATTTTGAAAAACGTGTTCAATTTTGCCGATGGGGCTTACAAAAATCAATCAGGATTTTTTTCTGATCTCGCGTTATTTTCTGATGAAGCGACATTTCATAAAAATGGAATTGTGAATCGGCACTGAATGTTTGTGATAAAATTCTCGGAAAAAGAGTTATTGGTACATATTTTTTAGATGGGCATCCCACTGGAAGAAACAATGTAAGATTTCTTCGGCATGAGTTTTCGAATTTATTGGACGGGGTTCCATATGGAACAAGACTTAGAATATAGCTACAACAAGACGGTGCACTACCACATTTTGAAACTGAGGTACGGGAATACCTCAAAGATCATTTCGATGAAGCAGGAATAGGTAGGGGTGGGCCTGTGGCGTGGCCACCCAGATTACCTGACCTTAACAAAATCGATTTTTTATGGTTGTATATGAAATGGATTGTCTACCAAACTCCTCCAACATCTATAGAAGACATGAAACGAAGAATCACTAGAGCTTTCAGGGAAATCCCAGAGGATATACTGGAACGTGTGGAGAATTCGTTTGAAAAAAGACTGACATTATATGTTTTAACTTTTTTTTGGCTTCTCTATTCAATAAAAAATTAGGGCGTTATTGTTCATATTGAAAAAATTTTGAGTAAGCTAACGTAAATAAATAAATTTTTTGTGGTTACAACAATTACTGAAACTGGGTATAATTTGTGACATATCTGTTATTCGTATAGTGAACCTCTCATAAAAAATGTAGTGAAAAGTTGAAACATTTCATACAAAGAAAAAAGTTGAATAAGTCTGTTTGGAAATGAATGTAACTTGACCGGTTTTACCGAGCACCCTATATAGCATGTACCGTTTCTTATCCACTGAGTAAACATGCCAGAGAATCCTAGACAGATAGCCATTCCAATTCCACTCGCTATGACAAGGGGACGTCTATGGAATGTCCGCAACATATAAGTATTTGCACAGGACATCAGCATTCTTACGATAGCAATAAATGTAGATGCAAGGTAGGGGTTGATGGTACTGCCTACTTCCTGAAAAATTCAAGGTTCATCAGCCAAATTATTCGATATTTCTTCTTGTTTTGATTGTAATTGAGATGAATTAACGAGAACTCACTTTGAAGAATGTTACAGAATAGAAGAGAGTTATGTATATCCCAGAAAACTGTTGAAAGAAGAAGAGTCCACAAATTATTAACATGGGTTTATAACCGGTTGGTTTGAAAAATTCCTTGACTTTAGCGGTTGCTCCGAAATCTCCCCTCTTTTCTTGCTCCTCAAGTTTCGCTTGGTGCTCCTTCTGTAGGAGGTTAAGATGTAATTCTGCTAGCGATTCATTCTGAAATTGAAATATTATGAAGTTTGAATAGGAACTAATTTGATATCAATTGTTTTGCGGATGGTTAGAACCAAAAAGATATAACCCGGTAAACATTGCATTTGCGAAATATCGGTTATATTATGATTTTCGCGTGTAGATAGGTCGAAATAGTTCTAAACAATAATTAGGTTCGCAATGAGATGATCATAGAAATGATTCATGAATTATATTCACATGATCGTCACTTTCACGTTTGTTATTGGATATTATAGGTATACACTTTTTTTTAATGATTGAAATATTTAGTGAAACATTAAACTTCATAAATCTGTTTCATATCAAAATCATTTTCTTAAAGCTGATGAAAATGCGTATTTTCCTAATCTGTTTGCGAACGACAACTCTCAGAAGTTGAGAAACTTGTGCGAGTTAAGGACTAACGAGGTCTTACCTAACGTGTGATTCCTAACACAGATCAAATCTGTATTTGTGTTGATGAATCTCAAACGTTATTGACGTAGTTCAATGAGTAGTAGCATATTTGAATAACTATCATATCTTTTATGTATTTTCCAAAAATTAACTACGATTCATGTTATCTGATGATTATACAACAGCGAAAATTGGGACTTACCGCCCCAAAAGAAGTGTATCATAAAAACGCCATCATAATGCTGTCCATCTTTTTCTAAGTGAAAATCAGACTTTTTTGACGCATACAAAAAAATGTTTACCAAGAAGTACTTGCATCATGATCTTACCCGATTTTCTGGTTGTGGTTGATATTTATTGATCCACCTCAGAGATGCAGCAGCTTGTTCAATTCTGCCTTTCGATACTAACCAAGCTGGACTCTCAGGAATGAAGAAAACCAATGCAACCGGTATCACAGCGTATAAATTAGCCGTCCAAGCTACAGTCCTCCAATGAAAAAACCAGCCCTTCATGAAACAGATCACCATACCTGCAATGATGCAGGTTTAAAAATACAACAAGGAATATACCTAATTTTGGATAACAATGCTCAATCTAGGACAGTATTGCTTAAAAAAATTTTGATTTTTGACCAAGAAATGCCCCAAAGGCAAAAATTTTATAATTTTGATTTCCATTTAAAAATATTTATCAATCTGTAGAATTCAGTGTAAATGAGAGCTTATAAACCGATATATATTACTGGAGGAGGCAAGATGCCAGTCACTGATCCTCAATTTATGAAATCACATACATATTCAAAGTGAACTTATTTTCAAGTCAAAAGTGCAAAGAAATTTTTTCTCAATATACAAAAGATTGCGCTCATTGAACATTTCAGGAATTTATGGCCACTGACAATATTGTTTCAGGATCTTAATGTCAATGAAACTACAACAATCGATATTGATCAATACTTGGATCCTATGAACTTTTCACTTTATGTTCATTTGTAGGAGAGGAAAATGAAAATGAGCTGAACTATTTTCCAAATAATAGAAGCCAACTTAACAATATTTTTTTCAAGCGTGATATTGTGCTGTTTCAATTTCTGAATTTTCAACAATTTATCGCCGGTTTATATAAAAAATATGGAAATTCCCCAACTGCAAAAAACGGCGAACTAATAAATTTGTACGATTTTGTATAGTGAAACGAGCATAAGAGTTTTCAATCTTATTTTGCACATAACATCATTCTATTGAAATCCCGGAATTATGAAACTTATATTGAAAGTTCACCAGTTGTTCGATTGCAGGTCATTTTATTGACTTGTAATATTTTTATTGAAGTGAATTGAACTTATTACAACGCACGAGGTTAGATTTCTGCATATTGGCAAAATGACAAACCATATTACAAAGCTCGTTTACAATAAATATCATTTTTCATACAGGGATGAACTGGAAAGTGCAATTTGCGCAATTAGGTTAGTTATTCTTTAATACCTATGTTGAAATCTATTTCGAAACGTTGCAAACTTTTTAAAGACATTTGTAATAACTATTTTATAAATAACTTAAATCTGTATCAAAACTTCAATTTCTTTTTGAAAATCATTGTCCATATGTCTTTTATTAAACTGTCATTTATTTTAATTATCATAAACCTTCAAAATATAGTCAGTCTATCAATACATTTTAGCCTATTTAATTTCTGATTTCTAATTGAATCAATTACCTAGAGATGCAAATGAGGGAGCAGATGAGACGAGAGATCCTCTTAAATCTGCTCTGGATATTTCCGTGATGTAAACAGTAGCCGGAATGGTTCCCCACGCTGAAACATAAATGAGTTATTGTCAGTTTTGGAAGGAACAGAAATATTACAGCATTTTCTATGGAATATTTGGAAAGTTGGGGTCCTGTTTATATCTCCTTGTAATTAAATGACAACAAAGTAAATCCTTTTAAAAGATTGTGTGAAACCTTCTGAGGGAGCCAAACATATATATCGTCACACAGTCATACAGTGTACAAATGTAAATTGTCGTAAAAGGCATAAACCTAATGATATCAAAGTATGTATGAGAAGATTTTCATTTGGCGTAGTACTTACTACAAGTGGTCAAGTAAGAGTTAGTACATTATTCGTGAACAAAAACATTAAAATGTTCACCTAGGCATTATCAATGATGATAATGTTTCAAACCAATTGGCCTACTACTATAATAAATTTTCTCTGCAGCCAGTGAAAAAACTTGTTGAAAGTTTTTGTGTATACAAAATATCATATACTTTGCTATGAGATCATATTAACTAACGCCTTCAAAAATTGTTTTGGTTACAAAAGTATTTATAGTACCAGGAACTTGGTAATCAAAATTATACAAGAGAGTTTAAATCAATCGCTTCCTGAGATGATCTCAATTGCTGACACGAGAGAGAATCACCTCGTTGACGGATATAATTACTTCAGACAATTACTTTGAATTGATATTCTGTTTAAAGATGCCACACATTACGCAGACTCTGATCACTCATTGAAAGGAAGGAAATTATTAAAACCACTACTTCCGGTTACAAAAGTAATGCTGGGTGAAGAAGTTGTATCATGCAGTATACAAGAAATCATCAGATTTCTCAGTTAATAAATGAAAATGAAGACATTTGTTTTTACAATGTTTTTTCAAACTGACAGGATCGAAAAAGTTTCAAAAGCTTTCAAGTTTCTGAAAATTTTTTGAATTTTGCTTGAGTGATGAAATATTTTGATCATCATGAATATATGCACGACTGGCTAAGTTAAGAAATAGCACGGGGATTGNATATATAAGTCTTGTACTAGCTCTATGCTTGCTGTGTTCAGCTCTAAGTGCGAAAGGCTACTCAGTACAAGATATACTAACATAACCTAACAAATGGCAGAATTCAACATCTGCACATGATAAATCAAGGCAGGAATAAAAGAGCAAATATCCAAATTTTTGAAATATTAGAAAATGGTTGATCCAGTATAAAAGTTGGGCTGAATCTTTTGCTACTGTTTTGGTCTGGCCGACTTTGTTTCGAAGGAAATAAGGAGTGAAAATGAAGGTCAAACACTCAGAAGATTGCAGAATTGAAAATAGCTGCAAATAAAATTGGAGAACGGAATAACATGAGGAAGACATATTTATTCCTGAGTAATTGCAAAAAATGAAGATCAAACACTCAGAAGATTGCAGAAATGAAAATATATCGAAGTTCAATTGGAGGACGGAATAATGTAAGTGAAACATATTTTTCCTGAGAAATAGCAAAATACACTACAGTACAAAAAATATAAGCAGTAATACTGTCCAGAATAGTCTGTCCAGAAATGAGAGAAACTACATTATTCTGATGTAGTGTGACGACGTTCTTGTGATAACTTTTGTAAGCGACAACGACACAATTTCCTTG